TAAAAGCATACTAGTAGTATAAGTAAAGACAGTTAGTCTTATTCCTAGTATAGTAAATAAGTAAAGTCTTAGCACTATTATTAGTTAATATATTACTATACTCTTATTTAAAGATAATAAAAATAAGATAGGTATAAGCAGCTAGGAGAATATATTAATACAGTAAGTATTATTACTAGTATTAATAAATTATTAGTTCTATATATTAATATAGCTAAATATTTATAATATTAAGCTCTTAGGTAACCTTAATGCCTTTAAAAGGCTATTAAAAAATATATTAAAAGAGAGTGCTTAAGTATCCTTTACTAAGTTTAGTAAAAAAACTAAAATAGGTTAAGGCAGCAGTTAAGTAATAGCTAGCATTAATAAGATATAAGAAATTATTTAGTATAACCAGTTAGGCAGCCTGCAGTAATACTATTACCTTACTTAAACTAATATTTATATACTATATCCTACTAGTTATATTACTATAGTAAAGTTTATTTATATACTAAGACTAAAGCTAGCTTATATAATAGCGCATGCTCTTTAACTTTTAATATAAAATAAGCATCTGCTTATTTACTACTACTATTTACTATTATAAATATAAGTGTTATCCTTAAGTATATTTTTTATATTTAGTGTTATTAACTTTTACTTTTAGTATCTTTTACTTTACTTTTAGTTACCTAGGCCTTTTAGTATTATAAATACAGAGTTACTATACTGCATTTAACTATAAAGGTATTTAAAAACGCTTTAATAACCTAAATAATAAGGTTAACTGCTTTATAATTTTAATAGCGCTTAAGTTACTTAGTATAAACTTATATTATATATATTTTAATAGCATTATATTTAAGTGGCTGCATAATGCACTAACTGTTTCTTAAACTATTAGGCGCCTTTAAAAATTAGGTTTACCTCTAAGTGCTAAAGTTAATTAAACTATTTTAAAGTTAAATAACTCTTTTAATTTATATTAAGAGTCTAGACTTATATAAAAGCAGGCAGTTATTTTAGCAGCTAAAGGTAAGATTCTTAATAAAATCACTAGTTAATTATAGGTTATATATACCTATAAGATTTTAAAAAGAATATTTAGCTAAACTTATAATTAATATTTAGTAAGAAGGGTGCCTTATAAGTACTATAATTTTATTAAGGTTTTAAAAAAGGGCTAGTTTTATTTAGCTTTAGTAATATACCTTATAGTATATCCTAGTAAGGCTTAATTTATAATAAAGGATAATATCTATAAAATTATAATATATTAGAGCCTAAATACTAAGGAGCTAATAAAAGTAATATTATAAGGTTAAGATGCTAATTAATAAAGTAATAGTATTATTTTATAAAACTAGTATAAGTTTAAGAATAATAAGGATAGGGATAATAATAAAAGTGATAATAGCTTAGCTAGTATGCTTAAGCAGCTAATATAGGTAAAAAAGGGTAGAAAGATAATATATAAGGTGCTTTAATTATAAAATATAGTTATTATATAGTAGAGTGTTTATATATATTAAGTGTAATTATTAGTTAGATATATTTAGTTAGATTATATATAAATAAGATAATAAAGTTAATTTTATATTAATAATAAGATTTTCTAGCTTTTTTAATTTATAAATTATATAAAGTTAATAACTCTATCCCTTTTTAATTTATAAATTAAAAGGGTAGGTTTTTAATTACTTATTATAAGGTATTAAATTAATAAAGTAATTTACTTTATTTATATATATTTATATATATCTATATATATCTATATATATTTATATATATTTATATATATTTATATATATTTATATATATTTATATATATTTATATATATTTATATATATTTATATATATTTATATATATTTACTTATATTTACTTATATTTACTTATATTTACTTATATTTATATATATTTACTTATATTTATATATATTTACTTATATTTATATATATTTACTTATATTTATATATATTTATATATATCTATTACTTAAAATAGCTAGCTACTAATACTATTTACTAATACCTTTTTATACTTAAAATAAAGGAGAAAACCTTTATATTTATATTTATATTAGCCTATTAAAAAGAAAGCTTATTATAAAGATATAACCTAGGTTTATTTTAATTTTAAAAAGTCCTTTTTATTAAAACTCTTAATATTAGCTAGCAGTTTAACTTTTATAGTCTTTTTTAAGTTTAGCTAAGGTAAAGCAGCTTTAGCTAGAGCAGCTTTAGCAGGAGCAGCCTTAATAAGTGCAGATTTAATAAGCGCAGATTTAGTAGCAGCTTATTAAGGAGCCTTATTCTTAGTATTAATAACTTTAGTATATAAACGCTTTTTAGCATTAAGATAGGCCTACTTATAAGCTAGTTCTGCTACTTTAAGCATAACTGCCTCTTAAAAGGCAGCTATAGGAATTTCCCTTTTTAGCCTAATAATACTAGCTTCTAGCTTCTTTATCTCTAGCTTTTTAAGCTTCTTACTGCTTAAAGCTATCTAACCTGCAGTTAAGTAAGTGCTTTTTTAAATGCCTATAGGCGCTGCAGCTTTAAATACTAGGCCTTTTAATACTGTTATTACCTTCTTTACCTTTTTAATAACTATTTTACTAATATTACTAATATTATTAAAAGCAGCTTAAAGCTATTTAACTTGCAGTTAAATAAGTGCTCTTTTAAATGCCTATAGGCGCCGCAGCCTTAAATACCAGGCCCTTTAATGCTATTATTACCTTCTTTACCTTTATAGTAACTATTTTACTAATATTACTAATATTACTAAAAGCAGTATATTTTTTATAAACCTTACTAGTAGGGATATTAATAATCTTCCTTATTTAAAGGTTAGCCTTTAAGGGTCTTAATAAATTAGTATACTTATATTATTTATAATAAGAATAATAAGAACAGTACCTTAACCTTAACTTAGGCTAGGTTAGTAGCTAATATTATTATAAGTAAAGTTAGCAGCTAATATTTAATGCCTTTTTAATTTATATATTATATAAAGCAGAGATTTAGCCTTTTTAATTTATAAATTATAGCCTGGCCTCTTTAATTTATAAATTATAGCCTAGCCTCTTTAATTTATAAATTATAGCCTAGCCTCTTTAATTTATAAATTATAGCCTAGCCTTTTTAATTTATAAATTATAGTCTAGCCTTTTTAATTTATAAATTATAGCCTGGCCTTTTTAATTTATAAATTGCAGACTAGCCTTTTTAATCTATAAGTTATAGTCTAACCTTTTTAATTTATAGATTATAGCCTAGTCTTTTTAATTTATAAATTACAGCCTAGCCTCTTTAATCTGTAAATTGCAGCCTAGCCTTTTTAATTTATAAATTATAGCCTAGCCTCTTTAATTTATAAATTACAGCCTGGCCTCTTTAATTTATAAATTGCAGCCTGGCCTCTTTAATTTATAAATTACAGCCTAGCCTTTTAAATCTATAAATTATAGCCTAGCCTCTTTAATCTATAGATTATAGCCTGGCCTCTTTAATTTATAAATTATGCTTATATAATAATTTTAGCTAATTAAAGTAGCAGAAACCTTTAACATAATCTACCTTATATAATCTACCCCCTGCATTTTTAACTTTATACTAAAGGTTTACTATACTTTCTACCTAAACTATAAGATTACACTACTTCTTATAAAATAGGATTATAGCCTGGCCTCTTTAATTTATAAATTATAGCCTAGCCTCTTTAATTTATAAATTATAGCCTAGCCTTTTTAATTTATAAATTATAGTCTAGCCTTTTTAATTTATAAATTATAGCCTGGCCTTTTTAATTTATAAATTGCAGACTAGCCTTTTTAATTTATAAGTTATAGTCTAACCTCTTTAATCTGTAAATTATAGCCTAGTCTTTTTAATTTATAAATTACAGCCTGGCCTCTTTAATTTATAAATTGCAGCCTAGCCTTTTTAATTTATAGATTATAGCCTAGCCTTTTTAATCTGTAGATTACAGCCTGGCCTCTTTAATCTATAGATTGCAGCCTGGCCTCTTTAATTTATAAATCGCAGCCTAGCCTTTTAAATCTATAGATTATAGCCTGGCCTCTTTAATTTATAAATTATAGCCTGGCCTTTTTAATCTGTAAATTATGCTTATATAATAATTTTAGCTAATTAAAGTAGCAGAAACCTTTAATATAATCTACCCTATATAATCTACCCCCTGCATTTTTAGCTTTATACTAAAGGTTTACTATACTTTCTACTTAAACTATAAGATTACACTGCTTCCTATAAGATAGTGTTTATTTTTTATCTTAAACTTAATTAATAGGTGCCTTTAGTAATACTAGTAAACTAAATCTAGCTAATTATATTTCTTAGCAGGCTACTTTTAAAAGCAAAATAATAATATAAACTAATAGAATTAAAGGTAGTATATTTTATTTAAGTAGTAAAAAAGATATAAATAATAATCTAGTTATATTAATAGCTAGTTAAGATTCTAACTAATTACTAGGCTATAAAAGGAATTATTAACTATACTACTATATTTATAGTAGACCTTATAAAGGCTAATTAATAATTAATAAGTATATTAATTTATCTTAGCTAATTTTAACTTAAAGTATATTATATCTTAGGCAAGATTAACTTTATTTTAAATACACTTTTATAACTCTTTATAAATTTTAATATACTTAAGTTAAAAAAAGAATAAAGTAAATTAAATAAAGTCTAGGATTTAAATATATATTATATATTAATAAAGCTCTTAGTTATTAATAATTTAAAAAAGAAGATATAAAAAGGATATAAAAATAACTAGCACTTTAATACTATTTAAAAGATAGTTAAAGAAAATAAAAAAAGATAAGTAAAATTAATAAAGTTAGCTAGGAAGAATAAGCTAGTAATAATATCTTATTATAACTAAAAGCAGCAGCTAATTTATATACCTTTCTTTTATAAAAATAGGCTTATATATTAAAAAGATAATAATAGTTAAGCTTATTTATATATTTTATTTAATTATATTAAAGAAGTATTCTAGGCAGTATATAATATATAATTCTATTTAAGGTTAAAAAAGACACTTACTTTACTAAATAGTTTTAGTATTTTATAACTAGCTAGATAATTATAATAGTATATTACTTATTATTTAACCTGTTTTACTAACTAGAAAGATATAGTAAAGCCTTTAAGTAAATTACAACCTATTTAAATACTAGCTTAGCTATTTTATATTATTATAATAAATTTTATTATTAGTATACCTTTAAAAAAACTCTAATTATTTTAAAAGATAAATAGTTATAACTATCTGCTAAATACTATACTTATAGTTACTTATAAATAAAGCTATAAGTCGCTTTTAATACCTAGATTAATAAAATACATAGCTTAATAATAAGCTATGGTATTTCTTTAAGCGCTACTTCTTTATAATTAAGGCATACTAAAGGTAATTATTAGTAATAAAAATTTAAAATTTATATTTAAATTTTAAAAGCATTTATTTATAGCACTTTTAGTTAGACTAGCTATTAAAACTGCATACTATTTATAAATAAATAAAATATTAAAAGTTAAGAATTAAATTATAAAAATAGTATTATAATATTATACTATAATTAGTAATATCCTATAGCTAAAAGTTATACTTATACTAGTTCTATTTTAATAATACAGTTAGTATAGTAGTAAAATAATTACTAAATAAGTTAGTAATAGAATTTAAACTAAACAGCCTATTAAATATTATAAAAAAAAACCAGTAACTTAACTAAAAAGCTATTAACACCCTTTAACTATTATATATATAAAAGGCCTAGCACTTAATAAAAAAAGCTTTAGTAATAGTAAAATAAATATATAATTAATATTATAACTTAATTAAGTTTAAAGTTAGAGATAAAGTGTTTTTAAGGTTATATAAAAGATACTACCTGCTTAAAAAGCCACTATATAAGTAGTTAAATTAATATACAGAACTATTTAAAGTTATAAAATGCATTAGCCTACTAGCCTATTAACTTAAGCTTCTACCTTAATAAAGGGTATATAATATAGTTTTAGTTATATACCTCTTTCTAGCATTAATAACCCTAGATCCTTTTAACTAACAGGCGCTGCTATTAAAAAGGATTATAGTTAATAAAGAAGAATAATATAAAGTAAAAAAGCTAGTTAACTAATAATTAAATAAAAGAGGGAAGAATTACTAAATTAAGTACTTAGTAAAATAAAAAGGCTATAGCCTATATAAGGATTAATAAGTTAAAAAAAGAGAGCTAGTATAAATAGTAAAGGACTTAATATAAAAGTATAAGTAATAAAAGCCTACTTAAGACTTACTTCTAGACTTTAAGAGTATAAAAGTATACTAGATATTAAAAATAAATATATAAGTATAAATTCCTAGTAAAAATATACTAAAATAACTAGCTAATAACTAGGCATATATATACTAAAGTAAAAAAATATATAAACCTTTTTTTTATTTACTTAGTTTTTATAATTAACTTAAGCTTTCTTATATCTCTTACTAGCCTTAGGTTCTCTTATTTATTTCTTTCCTTTAGTTTACTTTTACTATTTTTTTTTTTTTTTTCTCTTACCTTTAGCACTTAGTTTTTTTTTATTCTGCATTTCTACCCTGTATTTCTTACTATATATTTTATAACTTACTTAGTATAATTAGAAAGGTAATTAAAAACACTGCTATTATATTATAAGGCAGGAAGAATATACTAAATCCTATTATTAAGGTAGCTCTGCTAAAAGAATAAACTGCTTAAGAACTTAAAACTATTTAAAAGGCCTATAAGAAATATTAAAAAGGATATATTAATAAGTATGCACTAGTCTTACTATCTCTTACTAATATATAAGTTTACTTTAAGAAGTTAATTAAGGGAGCATTTAAGCTTATCTATCTTAAGTATAAAAAATATCTAGACTGTTTTAAAGTATATATTAATAAATATATTAAAACTAGTATTTTACTAGCTACTGTCTAGTTAAAATAAAATAGTTAT